CCGACCGGTCGGCCCTATTGGTCGCCTGCAATACGGTCGGCGGTCGGGGTCGGTGGTCGCCAGGGATGCAACCCTGGTTTTTCGTCCCTAAGAAAGTCGGTAACGAACCGACCCGAGAAGCTCACAGCATCAAGATTATGCAATAAACTCACAATGCCCAATGTTGACCGAACATACCAAGTAGACCGGAATGTTGAATGAAGAGAAGAATAGAAGGTGAAGAAGGCAGCCTCCAATAATAATCAATGTGTACAATGTCTCGGCTCACTGTGTGCGAGGACACAACTGCTCCTTCCTAGATAACCTCCAGGCTTCGTCCTTTTCTTCCTGCGAGCTTGCTGGCACATTCTAACCCTCTACTAATGATGAAGCTGGATGTGCCTCACAATCACCTCACCAATTTGCAAGTCTACATCCCAATGAAACATCAAACTGGCACAAATGAGGATAACGTGAGAACAAGCAATGCCGGTGCTCAGAAGCGAAGCGCTGACCCTTCGAGCATGGCAATCACCACCAGGTAAGCTCGGGTAAGCCTCTCTGTTTCTTTCACTAGTCTCCACTCTGAAAAGGATGTGATCATTCCTCAAACCTCGCTATGTGATCACTCCTCAAACCTCGCTCTCTCACTCTATAACTAAGCTATGGTGCAGCACACCGTCTGTCCTAGTTATCGCTCTCACTCTCGCTGTCTGCCTTCCTCCAGCGCCTGCATTGCAGATCTCATGCTCCAGTCTCAAGGCAGCACAAGGCAGAACACGTACATGGACTGGGTCAGGCTGCTCTTATAACCTGGCCTGCCTTGCCTCCTTTATGACCATTGACGGGCTGAGATTTCTTGATCTATATGCTCGAGCTCTGCTTGCAGCCCGTGTGTACCTGGACCCAGTGGACCTTGCAAACTTCTGGAAACTGCACTGAGCCTTTGGATTTGCATGTGATTTGCTTTTCTGCCACGGTTGGGGGCAGACTGTTGACTCTCTGAGGGGCTGCTTTTCACTGTAAAGGCGCTGGGTGCCTCCCTGATCCTAGGTTGACCGACCCGAGCACTTTTTGGTGCCTCTTCAGAGACTCGAGGACCACCTTTTGTTGTGCATGGATTTAAACACTGGTTCTTTGCAGTTGCTATCAGTCATCTGCTTACATCATTTGTTGCTCATACATTGTAATGGCGAAACCTTCTGTTTCTCATTTGAAGCCCATTTGTTTTGCTTTTGGAGCACCTGCATCAATGCTATTTCTCGATGTGTGTTATGTTGTCTCTGTATGTGTGCACCAGGTTGTTCTCATGCGGCACAAGCAAAGATGGAGAGTCGTCACTTGTGGAGTGGAATGAAAGTGATGGTGTCATAAAAAGGAATTACTCTGGATTCCGGAAACGGTGCCTTGGGGTGGTTCAGTTCGACACCATCCGGAACCGTTTTTTGGCTGCTGGAGATGATTTCCATATCAAGTTCTGGGATATGGATTCTCCAAATATTGTTCTGACTTTGCCGGCAGATGGTGGTCTCGTGGTGAGTTGTGAATCTTTGCATTAAAAGGAATTACTCTGGATTCCGAAAACTCCTTGCAATGGGACACAGACTTTGGACTCGGATTTGCTGAATTCTGAATTCCAGTTGTTTGTTTCTGATGGTAAAATGGATCGTCATGTATCAAGCACTCACATTCACTTTATCTGTTCCATTGGCAAACAGCTTTCGTGCCACTCTCATTGCATATTGGGAAATGGCTTTGTCATTTGTTAATGGCATGCTATCCATCCGGATCATCTCTCCATGTTAGATGAAAGAAAGGAACATTGAAAAAGTTATCTAGGTGATACAAGTAGACCAAACTATCGTGATTGCAGGCATCTTTTTTTCCTTTTTTTTTGGTTGGACCATTTCTCTATTTATGCGTGTCATCCTTGCGGAGGTGCCATGCTAATCTTCTCTGTCTCGTTCCAATTTTAACAGATGTCCCGAAGGACTGATTGAAGGCATCTAACCCCTTTCAACCTCTTTACTACAGTTTAAACCTTCTCGAACCCCATTTATACCCGCCACTGGAGGTTCGGTTGGTAATTAAAAAGACAAGGCCAGATTACCGCTCAGGCTGGGTGCAGATGAGGTCAGAGGTCGGATTGACTGGCTGTATGCATGACTGGGCATCTACGGTAGCCCAGGTTGCATCCATAGTGGGGATTAGTTATGAGAATTCCTTTCTTTTTCCTGTATGGCAGATCAGGGGGTTAGCATTTATTGTTATGATAATTCCTTGCTTTTTCACGTTTGGGAGGATGAGGGGGTTAGCATTTATTTTATTGGGAGAAATCTTTTCACTTTGGACATCAAATGGAGTGCAGAGGTGCCAACAGAATACGAACGAAGCAAACCTCTAGTGGTAACACATTGCTCAGTTCTTGAATTGGGGTTATGTTAAGAAACTATCTCAGTAGCATCTCCACATTACCTGTCAGGGTAGTATTTTCTTGAGTGAGTTTTTTGTGAGATTAGAAAGTAAGCGGCACTGTGCTTGTGAGATGAGTTTGTGCCTCAGGCTCGTTATAGACCTGATGGACTGGTAGGGACCCATGTGCGTTTCTCCCGAGCAGCACTGATTGAAATGGATTTGCTCGTGGAGTTTTGTGGAAGGGAACTGTGTTCTACACAATCCGGTTCATCGTTGTCTTAAACCACCTGTGCTTTTCCCAGCTATTTTGTGAGAATCCGGTTCATTATTAAGGCTCAGCGTCTTTCAGGCCTAAGCCTACCAAAACGAAAAGTGGGGTGGCGCCAGCCAAAAAGGATCGCCCTTGGCATCACTGCCAGTTTGGCAAAAATGGGTACTTGGGTTGTGAATTAGCCGCACTCAATTGATCATTCACTTCTTGGTCCATGATTTGCATCCTTGAATGACAGTGCCATGCATTTGCTGACTATACTCGAGGAGAGTTCACAATGTGTTTGCTTGTCTCACAATACAGACTTTGTGTATGAATGCAGTCCAGCCCTCGGATCAGATTCAATAAGCCGGGGTCGCTGCTCGCCGTCACGGCGCAGGAGAACACAATCAAGATTTTGGCCAATGCGGAGGGCGCACGGATGCTGTGTGGCATGGCTAATGCAGATGGTGCACGGGGCCCTCCTGATCCTGTTGTATCCAAGGTGATTCAATACTTACCAGAGCGCCATGCATGACTTTTGTGTTCTTATTTGCTCTTGTAAACTTTATTGATCTCTGGACCTTCAGTTGCTTATCGTGGTCTGGATGGTTTTACTTGTGGGTCCTTAAACCTGGTAGCTGCATCTGCTCTGTTTGTAAGGTTGGTGGTCCTGCCAAGTAGCGGTGTGTGGAACACTGTTTTGGTGATGTTTGGAGTATAGTCCTTTCGACCTCCTATGTAATGATGCTCCCTTATGTGATCTGCGAATCTGTTCGTTGTACGAGGCGTCCTTTCGGCCTCCTATGTAATGATGCTCCCTTATGTGATCTGTGAATCTGTTCGATGTACGAGGCATTCTTATGATGCTGCTTGGATATGTGTCAGCGATGATGCTCTCTGTGAATCTGTCCCCATTTGTCATGTGTCAGTGCACGTGTCTGGTAATGTTTCACTCTTTTTATTAGAATGGAGCTGTTTTGATAGGTACTCAACCAAGCGCACAAGGATGTTATGATGGACTCACTTCTTGTTTTTTTTCTTTTCTTACAGAAGCTTGCCGCTCTGCATTTAACTCTGAACTTGGCGGTTGGGATTTGTTTTTTTTGCAGACTTCTGGCGATAACGGAAGAGGAGCAAGTGAACCTCGGGTTGTCGATGACAAGACCAAAAGTTGGAAAATTGTGGAGATTCCAGATCATATGGGCTGTAGGTCAGCCCGTCTTCCAGACAACTTAGCCGCTAGCAAGGTTCTTTCTTTGACCCTGTCCCCATTAGACACATAAATGTTTCTGGTGTGTGACTGGAGTCGCTGTTTTATTTGTGTTGTGGAGGACACTCGTTCAACTGGTCACTGTAGCACAAATGAACGCAATACATGCTAAATGACATTGGATCAGAATGCACCATCCACTGCAGCCACCAACTGTGTTCAAGAGTGGACCTGCTGTTGTTGTGAATTCTTCTGCCAGGGAAAACAATTTGGCTGCAATGTCTATGTTGCGTGCTCATGTCACTTCTGTGAATTCTTCTCCAAACTTAACCACGTGCAACTCTGTCGTGGTCAACGAAGCTAGGCTATGCGATTGTTTACATACCGGGCTAACACCTCCGCGTCCAATGAAAAGGATTGAGCAGACCTAACAGCTGTGAGCTCTAACTGAACATAACAGGGCATGGTTCTCATAACCACCTCCAGGCTGATACCAAGCTTGGTCATGAAAACCATGCTACCTTCGCAGATGCCAGCATGACAACAGAATCCACCCAGAACCCCTGGGCGCGGTTTATCACGTGGTTGTCCTGTCCATTTTGACAGTGAAGAGCTTGCCGATGAACACGTATAGTGTTAAGAATTTGACAAAACCTCTGTTAGTTTGTCTTCACCTCCGCTTGTTTTAGTACAGATCATTACTTGGGTGTCTTCGTGTGCAGGAATGTTCTGGTAGCGTCATTTCGAAAGAAAGAACACCGAAAAGTCTGGAACAAACAGGAACCGAGGGACTGTCTGCTATGCGTCTGTGTCCGTTTTGCTTCATTTCAAGTTAATGGCGTGTCAACTTGCTTGTTTTTTGTCCCTGCTATCCCTTATACTGTTCAGTGCAGCTTTCTGTCCATTTCAAGCCAAAATGTTGCAAAAAGCCTGGAATATCTTACTTTGGACGTGAACCTGACAAAAAACGGTGTTGCAAAAAATGTTGTTGCGAATCTGAGTCAAGCCATTTCAAGCTCTAAGCACGTTATGCTCCTCTTCAGATTGGGATTGTTGCAAAAACTGCTCTTTATTTTTCTGTCGTACGCATCTGGCCTTGCAAGCAGATTGGGATTGTTGAGCACCCTGAATCTGACATTTTATGGGTTTGTTCAACTTTGTTGCATTTTTGTTCTTGTTAAACCACCAGTCCTTGGCCCAGCTATTGATGACGGGCCGGGAAACGCCCTGTGCACCAAGTTTTGCCGAACCGATGGCGTTTTGTTTCGATTTTGGCTGGCGCCTCCAGCCATTGTGGGCGGGTACCCCAAAGCCCATTGGTCGCACCACATTGATGGGAAACGCCCGCGGTTGGTGGTTTAAAGGTATCACTTTCTGCTTACCGATATTCATTTGGATAAGGCCTTCGTTACCCTGTTTTGCGACACATAATCAGTAGGGTATCATTAGTCCTGTCACTTCTCTGTCTCTAAATGATTCTTCCAATGAGCTTCTTTCGCCGTCTCTAAATTTGTAAATAGGTAATCTAAAACTGAGGGTCTGCATTGTGATCTTCTCTTGCAGGTCTCGAGGTTGATTTACACAAACACTGGTGGAGCTTTGTTAGCATTGGCGTCAAATGCAGTGCACAAGCTATGGAAGTGGCCACGGAATGATCGCAATCCAACAGGCAGGGTAAGGGTCCTCATGCCTGGTTTGGCTAGTTATGTGTTTTGCTCTCCGTACTAGGAAATGGCTTAGTATTCCTTGTATACATGGTCTCATGTTTCCATGTTTCTGGCAAACATGTTACTTATAGTCAACAGTTCTCTCTTTTGTTTGCCGATTAGTTTCACCGATGACTTACCTTTGTTTTGTCTTTCCCTTTCAATTGGTTAAAAGGCAGGTACCACTTGCCGCAAGTCGTAATGCACAGGACACGGAGGACAGTGCATTGGTTCTGGGTTGGAAATAGATCTCGTAGTTGTGTGCGGTTTTGTGGGACTTACATTCTCCGTGCATTGGTTCTGGGTTGGAAATAAATCTCGTAATGCACAGGACCACAGCTGTGTTTTTTTTTTTCATGGTTGGCAGTGAGCGCACAACCTGAACTATGAGAATCGGTGGATGTTGATTTCTCGGTGATTATGCAGGCTACAGCAGGGGTGGCCCCACAGCTTTGGCAGCCAGCCAGTGGCATAGTTATGACAAACAACGTATCAGATATGAACCCAGAAGAGCCTGTTCCTTGCATTGCTTTGTCAAAGAACGACTCTTATGTGATGTCAGCATCTGGTGGCAAGGTCTCACTGTTCAACATGCTCACGTTTAAGGTTTGTATAAGGAGCTCTCCTTCCAGACTTATGCTCCTTTGCCTGTTGTTTCTGGCCCCTTGTGTGAGAGGATTAGTAGAGCTATAACATTCTCTGTGTATCCAGGGAACCATTTTTAGCAGCTATCTGCGGTGCCGATAAGAGGCAGACATGCAGATGCTGAAAACATGTTCCAGTTGAAGGCACACGGGTAACAAGAGGGGTTTGGCACAAGGGGATGATGATGAGGGTAAGAGGGAGGGTCAGAGAGGCTGAGAGAGAATCTCCTCTCTCTCGTTCTCTCCTTGGTACACATGCCTAGCGTACACCAGCACTCACACATTTGAAGACTGCAAGAAGGCCGTTGTTTCCTACAATGCTCTTCAGCATCCCATTGTCTGTGCTGTCAATCGCTATTCATGTGGAAATGCATGTTTACAGTCAAAGATGGACATCATTGGACAAAAACAAAAGTGACCAGACAACAAATGACACATGGGGGATCTGCCATTGATACGTTTTTCCACGAGGCAGTTCATTGCATGCACAAAGGACGTCTGCTTCTTAGTTGTGTTTGCAATTCTAGAGGTCATTCCTGCCAATGTTCTCCATGGAAGATCGCATGTCCGATCACCTCCTCCGTCCCTATGTTAATTTGTTTGATTTGTGTAACTGTCATCCTTCTGCAATAGCTTTTGTGTGTATGGTTCAGACTTTAGGGTTGCCAACGTTCAACACCGATTGATTCATTCTCCATGAGGCAGTTCGTTGGTTTGTTCCATTCGTGTAACTCTCATCGTTTGACGATAGCTTTTGTGTGTATGGTTCAGGTTTTAGGGGTGTCAGATTCAGTCTCTTACTTTCACTTGCATCTCTCATGCTGTATGGTTGACATCTTCCATACACCTTTTGTTTTTCCCTCCTTTGCTTAATTATGTTTCCCGTTGTATGACCTCCTATGTCCTTTCTGTATTCTCTTCTCCCATATCGCAATCACAGTACTCTTTCCTTTTCCGTTGGTTGCATGATCACCAGTACTACCTTTGCTTTGCAGGTGGAGCTGCGCTGGCCCGTCTTGTTGTCTACATGTTCAGATGGATTGACATTGATGGTGGGGATTTCCGATAACACACGCACACCTGATCAGTTCGAAACGATGTGGCACAGTCATGCTCTTTTTTGTCCAGCCGGGTGACAACACACTTTGTGCCTGAAGCTGAAGTTACCCTTCTCATTTTGAACTGTTGTAAACTGCCGCTGACCACACTTTCATTGCAGGAGATGACGACGTTCATGCAACCGCCACCTGCAGCAACGTTTCTCGCATTTCATCCTCAGGACAACAACATCATCGCAATTGGAATGGACGATTCATCGATTCAAATCTACAATGTACGGCTTGATGAGGTATGTGGTCAGTAAGGCTTCATTGTAAGGGTACTGCAGCACTCCTACAAAATGCAGTATCGTGGTTTTGGTAACTTTCTTAGCAGATATACCCTGTTTGTTGTCCATTTTGCTGTTTTGTTTTGGTATCTGCACTTTGTTGGTAAATCTTTTTATGCATCCACCATGTGCTCGATTTTGCAGGCTTGTGTTGTTTTCTTTGCTTTGTTGCCATCTTGATGCTTTCTGTCTTTCTGAGTATGATATTGTCGAGACGTGTGCTCACATTGTAGCAGCTGGCCATTGGTTTCCATCACGCAAGTTCATGCATGTGGCTATGGATGGAATGCCAAACTCCAAAGTGTACTGAAGTTCACTGGAGCGGATGTGATAATGTGAAGCCTGTATGCGCTGGGGGTGGCCACCGTGTAGGGATGCTGGACACAACGCCGTATTGGAGTTTGGAGTTCCACCATGCCTTCACGATCTATTCAATATAACCCTTGCACGTTTTAGCATCCGTAGTGCCGACTCACTGAAGCCCAGCAGCATCATCAGTGCCAGCAGCAGCAGCAGCGTCGTGTCTTCTGGTTCCGTTCAATACAACCCTGCATTCGCTCATGAACCTTGTCCACCCCTCAGAATCTTCCACTTTGCCTCTGTGCCTGCCCACCCCCTGAGTCCCATGGGGTTAGGGGCAGCATCATTATCCAAATTCTCCCAACCACTGATCAAGGCCAGCAGCTAAAGCTGCAAGCACAGCAGGTTCATGCTGTTCTCTGGCGACATGAGGTCGGGCTAGTTCTGGCGACATGAGGCGTCCAAATGAACAGCATGAATCTGTTTGACCTGGAGAGCTAAGGTAGCTCAGGTTGGATAAACCGCAGCATTTTCTGAAAGGAAGATCAGAACAGGGAGTCACAAGCCTGGCTGTGGGTAAAATGGATGATTTCACGAAAGCTCCACAGGATCACTGCTGGTCTTCTTTGGGAAGTTGCTTGCCGGATACTCTCGAGTCTTCCTCAAACAATTTAAGGAAAAAGTACTACTACGGCTGCACGGCTTTCCACCAAGTCAGCAGGTGGAATCTCTAGCATGAATGAGAGAATTCAGTCTACAATGCCTCTACATCTATCCACAGCGCATTTCAGGAGTTGGGCAATCAAGGGTTGACTTCAGACAAACATAAAAGGATGTGTTCATATCTTGTCTGCATATGTGTTAAATCTGTGAACAAGGTACTGTAGGGATTCAGCAATTACGCATCCCACCCTAGAGGGAATGATGCTGCCGAGGAGTTGTTTGTTTCCGTGTGTCCCCGAGGCTCTGGGGCATCTTGCTTTGGGAGCTGGGGGAGGTTCGAGGACCGCTACCGGAAGTTGTTGTCAGTTTGTAGGTAACATGACTGAAAATTGGTTTTGGTGAACGCTTTTTCTTTAACCACTATCAACCTGGTTCCCTAACAGTAAGTCATGAATTGGATTGGTTTGATTGGTCTCGCAGGTGAAGAGCAAGCTGAAGGGTCATCAGAAGCGAATCACTGGCCTGGCATTCTCAAATGCAGCTCTGAATGTGCTGGTCTCTTCTGGAGCAGACGCGCAGGTGATTGCAGACCTCCTTGTACTGAATCCCCAAAAAATTGTATCTCGTAGTCAGCCTGGTGTTACACGCTGAGCCTGCACACGGGCCCCGTTTCGGGGGCCCGACGGTTGCTGGTGGCCCCAGGCCGCACACCCTTCGGACATGCGCCCTGGAGGCCCACGGCTGGCCTTAAGCTGCAGGATTCGATTTAAGGCAGCGTTCCTTTATTTATTTATTTTTCCTGTCCTATTTTTGTCTGTTCAGGCGTCGCTTCGGACTTGCAGTTCGTCCACAGACTTTTGGTCTGTTCGGACAAAGGCCGCATTTTGGGCCTTGTACGGTCCCAGGAAGGCCGTTTTCGGGCCCGATCCGTTGTTGTCCAGGTACGGACACTCCCTGGTGCATCAGCAGGGAGGGCCTGGACGTCCGGTAGGGACCCAGGCAGGCCACGTTTTGGTCTAGGACCAGAGGCACACAGAGGCATACCCGCGGGGCCCAGTGCTACTTATAGCTGGGCCACGCCTGGGCAGACACAGTTCGAGTAGCTCACTTCTTGGGCGACACGCTGCTGCAGCAGTGCGGCAGAAATACACTCGACGTAGAGGTGTAGGTAGGGAAGGAGGGGGAGATCATACTGCGTCGACAGAGCTCCTGCCTTGGCGCCATAGCTGGCCCTCTCACCAGCGACCTGCACGCAGAGAGAAAGCGACATTCGGCAGTTAGTACAGGGCGGCAGTTACCTGCAGGTGAGACAACGAGGAAGACGACATCTTCTTCTTCTTCGTCTTGCCCTCCATCTCTTCTTCCTCCTCCCTCTTCTTCTTCTTCGTCTTCTTCTTCTTCTTCTTCTGTCACAGAGAGAGAGAGAGAGAGAGAGAGAGAGAGAGAGAGAGAGAGAGAGAGAGAGAGAGAGAGAGAGAGAGAGAGAGAGAGAGAGAGATTACAGGCAGAGGTTGCTGCGGGCATGGAGGCCAGGATCTGATTCGACATTTTGAGGTAGACATTGATTGGACATTCGGCTGGGAGACTATTTTTGGACTTCGCTATCACAATCTTGGTCTTCTCCCTCCTCACCATCTTTGTCTCGCCTCTCCCCCATCTTCTCATTCGTGGTATCTCCCACATGTGCGTGTTAAAGGAGGGACCTTTCTTCCATGTATGTGGTCCCTCCTCCATCTCTCACGTGTGGTGTATGATGGGGTGTCATGCCAGTATCTGACAGGTCAGGTCATATGTTTGAGTCTTCTGTTGTGCTACATTGTGCTATTTTCATATGTATCTGGATGAACATCGCTTGTTGATGCTTTGCTGGCACTGCATTGTCCATTCGAGTCCTTTTATCACTTTGCGGATCCTTGCTTCCATATACATCGCTCAACTGAGCATGTATCACCGACTTTGCGGATCCTTGGCTCCATATACATTGCTCAACTGAGCATGTATCACTGGTCTGGGATTGTTAACTCTCCATACACATTGGTTAAACCACCAGTACGTCGGAGTGTGGTTTTCCCAATCTGCAGTAGTGGATCTCTGCAACTTCTTTGCACAGAAATAAAGAACCGTGGTGGGTTAAGAGAACCATTGCCGGATGTGTACTATTTATGTCTGTTCCTCCTGGTGCAGTCTGGCTCCTAATGTGTGCTGGCCATTCACACGGAGATGACAGCGTCCCAGCTCGTAATACATCGAAGGAAGAGGGGGACTCCAAAGGACTGGCGGTTCAAATTTGAATTTGCAGTTTAATTCCGAAAGAGGGCAGTTGCTAAATCATTTTGTCATTAGCTATTTTCCCCCTCGGTGCAGCTATTGCTAATTTTATTGGGGTTTGCTATTTTACCAAGCTTCATGATGCCAGTTCTGCATTGCTAGCTAGAGCAATGTGAGCTTCCTCCAATAGTGAATTGATGTCCTTGGCAAGTTGCATGCATGGAAAACATGGCAGATGATGAATATTGTCTTTGGGTGAATTATGTTGTTGGCTAGCTAACCATACATGGACCTCATAACTGATGATGCATGTGGTGTGTTGGGTGAATCCTGCTGCAGCTTTGTGTGTGGAGCCTGGATGGATGGGAGCGAAGGAAAAGCAAGTACTTGATAAATCCGCCACCTCGTGGACTGACTGACACAAGGGTTCAGTTCAACAATGATCAGTACAGGTTACTCGTCTCACATGAGATGCTCGTGTCAGTATGGGACGTGCAGAAACTGGAAAAACTCAAGCAGGTCTGCCTAACCTCTTCCTTTTTCCTCATTGAGTCTGGCTTCCTTCTTGTAGTTCGTTGCGTATCTGTCATACTCAGTCAAACTCGCAATTCCTGTACATTCAATGTCCCTGGGAGCACTTAGTGCTGCAGACGGACTGAGAAAAGTTTCAAGTTTACCAGGCAGTAAGAACATGTTCCCTAAGGGACTGGTAGAACCTTGTGGAATTGGCAGAAGTAACATCTGCTAACAGTGTGCAATATGTTGTCCTTGGTGCCTCATTGGGTTGATCTCAGAAATTGTGTTTTCGTCTTTGCTGTTTGGGTATTCTGCACATCAGTTCTGTGTTGCCATGGTTATCATGCAAGCATTACCATTATCTTCATCACCATCTGCGGTGTTGGCATCGTCATTATCAGCATCATTCTCCTTGTCATGGTGTTCATCATTGTCATCATCATTGTCGCTGCCATTCTTCATCGTCATCATCTTCCACTTCTTCTTCTTCTTCTTTTCCTTCTCCTCCTCCTCCATCTCCACCTCCTCCCTGCCTTCCTCCCAGTTGGTTTCCATCTTCTGTGCCTTTCGTTTTGAGATATCAGGAAACATGGAGTGAGTCGGAGAGGATATAAACCCTTGACCTTCTTATGATGGCCAACATAAACAACATCATCGTCGTCATCATCATCATCATCATCATCATCGTTTTCCTCCTCCCTTGGTGGATGGGATTTGAACGTATCACCTATGTCAACAGCTCTAGCTGTGCACTATTGAGACACCATGCAGGCACAAATTGACTTGTCCTTCGTCTTTGGATTGCATCTGATGGCAAACACGTCCAACCCTTTCGGGCTTTGTGACCACTGCGCCTCACTGGTGGGGGTTGGAGCACGAGTTTTGAAGTTTTCGTATAAAAAGTTTTCTAATTTGCTGAAAGTGAAAGCATGGTTGCATGGAACCAACAGGCAATGCCAACCACAGCCGCCCGGTCAGCCCTGAGGTCGGCGGACTGCCGGCCGGGCGGCAGCGGTTCTCTGGATGGGTTTTCAGAGACAAGGAAGATGGGGGCGTCCTTTGCATGCCCCAAATTCCCGGAAACCGCTGTGCAAACTATGTTTCCGGGTGATCTGGCTATTGGGGGGAGGGGGTGGTGGAAACCTTCAGAAAGGTGTAACTTGCGTCAATCGCATCACAGGGTGTGGCAGGGTATGTAAAGACTCTATTCTCTGTGAAGATCTCAAGTAATGATCTGGTTCTGGGGGGGTGGGTAGGGGGAGGGGGTGTTGGAAACCTAAGTCAGTAGGTGTTGGAAACCTAAGTCAGTACCTTGAGAAAGGAGGTCTCCTTTGTGTCAATCGCATCACAGGATGTGGCAGGGTATGTAAATACTCTATTCTCTGTCCAGACCTTAAGTAATAAAGTAAAATATCAGAAGGTATCTTATCATTGACGAAAAAACTAATTAAGGCGAGTAACTTTGGAAAGGTCTGTTGTCAATGGGGCTGCATGAGGTGGCAGGGGATACAAAGGTGACCCTATTCACCATTCAGATCTTGATTTACCGAAGATTTGATGGTTGAAAAGTAGAAAAGTAATCCCGTGTGGTCTCTCATATGTTCTTGATGTAAAAAGTAATTAAGGTGAGTGATCTTCAAAAGGAGGAGGCATCATTTATCAATCGGGCTGCATGAGGTGGCAGGTGATACGAAGGCGACCCTATTCACTCTTCGGATCTTGAATGAATGCTAGCGATATGCGTAACACATGCAAGTAGAACGTTGTTTTCTCAGTTGAAAACAAAGTGGCGAACGGGTGCGTAACGCGTGGGAATCTACCAAACAGTTTGGGAAAAATCCCTGTTGGAAGTTTTGGCAGTTTTGGGAATTAAAAGCTAACATTTATGTGATGTTGTGAACAATGGGGCAAAGATTAATCAACAGCAAAAGCTCCGGTGAATTGGACAGATGAGGGATCTCAAGGCATTCAAGGTTATAATGAAACAGATCTAGATGTGTTCAATCAATGAACAACAATAAATGAAAAACGCATCTTTGAAAAGTTGCAGTGGAGGAGCTGGAAGAAGAAGAAGAGGAGCACTGAAAACGGACTTAGGCGGTCGTGGGGAGCTAATAACCCCCGGACTAATGATCGTGGACCACCGACCAGCTAGTCGGGAGCCGACCAGTTGGGTATCGCCACCATCGGCCATGCCACTTAGACCAAAAGTTACTTTTTGTGGTTTTCTGGATTTTGACTTCTGCAGTCTAATTTTTTCTCTCTGTGTTGCTTTTTGACATGTGCAGTGGGCACCCGGGAGCATACCCTCAATGACGGCCCCCATCTCTGCAGCGACGTACTCCTGTGACAGTCAACTTGTGTATGTTGGCTTCTGTGATGGTTCGATTGCCGTTTTTGATGCGGAAAGCTTGAGACCACGCTGCAGGTTATCGCCAGCAGTGCACACACCGACTATGGTTGGAAGGTATGAATCTAGTGACGCACGTCCACACAGATTGCATGTGGTACTTTTGTTCCTTTCCTGCAGTCAAGCCTTTTTGGAAGATCTGATGAAAGCCTTTCAAGCCCCATTTTTCTCGGCCTTTTGAAAAGAGAACGAGCGCATGGCATGAGTACTACGTGGGCACAAAATGGTGGTGCACCATTTCCTGGGCTTACTGCCAGGAAGTCCGTTGTGCGTTTGTGATGGCTTTGAAAAGAGAACGAGCGCATGTCATGATAGATAGAGGGACCGGAGTTCAGACAGGCACTAGGGCGTTCTGGTCCATATCCAAATGTGCGGGCTGGGTGGGCAGCCAGACCACCTGTGGGTCATCGTGGGGAAAAGCAAGAAAATTTCAAGTTTTCAAGTGTGTAACTGTGTGTTCCAAAAAAGACCTGGGAAATTGGGAACACATTTTAGTCTTTTAGCTGAGCGTCACTGCGAGAGTAGATATCTTATGATTGAAAATAACCTTGGAACTTCGGAAATATAGCTGAGCATTCCTGCAAAGCACCGCATTGAAATGTACCCCTCTAAACCCTTCAACTCTCTTTATACCGATCCCCACTGAAACCCACTTCTTGGAAATAAGCTTGGAGTTGTTTCCTTCTCAAATGCGGTTTCCGGCTTGTCTGGGAACCCCAGACATATGGGTCCAGAGATGTGTGGGCCAGGCACCCTGGTAGCATAGCTCTCATGTGCCAATCCAATTTCCTCCTAGTCAGTGCTTATGACGCGATCAACTTCAGAGGAGGGAAATAAATATAGAACATGGGCTGTCATAAGAACTGTGTCCATGATAGCATTGCGCCATGGAAGTAAGCAGTGAATGAGCTATTTGCCTTCGCCGTTGAGCCAAGTCGGCACTTGAAACCACTTAATTGAGTGTTCATCGGGTTCATCTTTTTTTTTTTTTGGGACCATTTCTCGATCTATGCGTGTCATCCTTGTGCAGGGCCCATGCTAATCTTCTCTGTTCCAATTTTAATGGATGTCCCGAAGGATGCTAGTGGAAAAATGGCTGGGCCAGACAGCTCCATAGCATATCAATCATGTGCCAATCAAGTGTGCTCGCCAATCAAGTGTGCTCCGTGTCAGTGGTTATGTATAACGTAATTGGTTAGGCAGACAGAACATGAACAAACATAAGAACTGTGTCCATGATAATGTCATGCAGTGACTATGGTAGGCAACTGTATGCAGTGAAATAGCTCTTTGTCTTTGGCATTGAGGCATGTCAGCGCTTGAAACCACTTGTGAGAATTGAGTGTTCATAGGATTTGTATGGATGCCAGTGGACATAGAGTTGTCCTGTTGGTATCAGGACAGCCTGCACAGTCAATGAAATTCCCAATGGCAGTACTAGGTTGCTTTTGAGATGTTCACCATGCTAAGATATGGCACTGTTATCGCAGAATGCAACTCACTCACAAGTGTAATGTTGTGCAGCACCGTCCTCCCCCCGCTTCCCGCCAATCCAATTCCACTTTACAGTCCGTGCTGCAATGGATAGCCCGGCGTTTGCAACGCCCAGGGTGGCCATACCCGCATCGCCTCAAGCCCAGTTCCTGAGTGACGGACGGTGATTGATGTGGCGTGGGGTGGTGCCAATCGGTATGAACATGTGGAGGATGGCAGCCGTAGGCCATAGCAATGGTGGTGGTGAGCGCTGTGCGGGTGTGTTGTGAGTGGTGTGGAGAGTCGCTGGGGTTGTGATGACTGCGGTGGTATGAGTGGTTATCATGGTGCAAACAGAAGTGGTGGCACTGGCATGGGCGGCGGACGTTCTGAGTAGGTGTGATTAGTCAGGCTGATGGTGTTGGCGGTAGTGATACTGGTTGTGATGGCAGGACTTGTGACAGTGAGTTGCGGATGCTGGGGTGTTGGGGGCGGTTTGAATGTGGATGGAGATGTGGAGCCCACTGGCGATGGTGGAGGGGGTGATGATGGGTGGTTGGGAATTAATGACGGTGGTGTGGTGCTGGTGAAGGAGCTGCTTCCGTTTGGAGGGTGATGACAGCACTCACTGCCATAGCAGAAGTTTTAGTGAGAATTGCGAATATGATGATGAAGACGATTAGCTATCCCTGAACACTGGTGCTCATGAACTGGGTAGTCCCTCTGGAGCCRGAGGAGGTGGCTCAGAAGGCTCTGCTTATGAAGGGTGCTTCAGGAGTTATCCATAGCAGAAGTTTTAGTGAGAATTGCGAATATGATGATGAAGACGATTAGCTATYCCTGAACACTGGTGCTCRTGAACTGGGTAGTCCCTCTGGAGCCGGAGGAGGTGGCTCGGAAGGCTCTGCTTATGAAGGGTGCTTCAGGAGTTATCCCCTCGTAGTGGGAATCTGTGAGGATGGAAATGGTGCTGGGAAAAAAGAAAGACTTCTTGTTGAAGGAGGGGATGGGGATGGTTAGGTAAACTTCGATTATGGTCCTGATGGCGAAGAGGATGGGAAGGATGTAGATTATGAAGAGAAGCCTCTTTCTTGGTGTTAATGCCCTGATCTTGCATCGATCGCTTGGGTAACCCAGTTCTGGAGCTGACCTCCGTCTAGAAGCACGCATAGGGTTTTGAAATCGCTTTCCACCTTCTCTTGCTGTGATGCTTCTTTGCAATGTAATCTGTGTTCTTAGATGGTGTGGGGGGGCATGGGGACACGGGAGAAAAGAAAGAGATGCTGTGTGTGTGAAAGAATGTGGGGAGTGCGGGCTAAGGGGTGAAGGTGGCCCTAGGGTTTGGACATAGTCGGCAGAATGTGATATATCTATTGGATTTGTTTGATGTATTTGGAGCTCAGTGTTTTGTTCCATGTTTCAGGTGCCCACCCTTCTGTATACCAGAGGGACGAGAGTGCATACCACGAGCTGATCCTGTGCCTTGACATGTTTATGTGACATTGTTTCTTCAGTGCGGTGTTTCCATTGGTTATTGCTGCACATCCTCTGGAGCCGAACCAGTTTGCTCTTGGCCTTAGTGATGGTGGAGTGCAGGTCAGTTCCTGTTACAGGCCCTTTTCATCAGTTTACAACTTTACACATGTTTTTTTCCTTCTTTTTTTTAATTTTAAATTTGGACTATTTGTTGATTTATGCGTGTCATCCTTGTGCAGGGGCAATGCTAATCTTCTCTGTATTGTTCCAATTTTAACGGATGTCCCGAAGGACACACATGATTTTTTCTATGTGCAGTCAAGTCCTTGTTTTTACGTGTGCTATGTCGCCAAGTTTGAAGGCTTCTCGAGCACGGTTTCTTGTAGTCCAGGTTCTTGACGAATTCATGACTTCTCACAGGGCTTCATTGTTTAACGCGTTTGTATTATATGCTGTCTATGTTTATCACAAGTGTCCGGCCTCATGAGCCGATTCAAGAGTTAGCCTATTAAATTAGTATTAAATTACTATTAATCGAGTTGTGTCAATATGGAGCAGTAGCTGTAAATAAGCAGACCCTACACCCGTCTGACAGAAATGATAGAACTGTTTGTTTTTCAGCTGGGTTGAGGGAACGAGCTGCGCTGTACAGACCTACCTGTAACTTTGAGCTTAAACCACTAGTACCTCCTAAAAGTGCTACGCGTTAATGACGGGCGTGGCTTTTGGGATGAACGGGCCTGGGCCGGTAGGCCCGAATCACTAAGTGGAAACGGTGCAATTTCCAAGTTTGGCTGGCCGTTAACGCGGAGCACTTTCAGGAGGTACTGGTGGTTTAATGATCGCCTTGGTCGGAAAAAGTTGTGAATATCCTTCGATCAAGTTCAATGACGACTATGCGCATCCATACGTCTGGGTCTGGGTAATTGCTCAGGTCTGTGCTTCAATCTCAAACTGTGCTAGAGGAATCAACCACTTGCTCTGTGCACGCATTTCATCTGCCAAAAACTACAGGTGCAGCTATGAGATGTCAGAAAATTGCAGTGCATTTCTGACAGACATGCGACGTCCAGGCATGCATGCAGATGTAGATGTGTTGGCCATCGCACATCTATGATTTTCTTTCTTTCTGTCTATTCTCTGTTTCTCCCTTTTTTTTCTGTTTTTTTTTTTTCTTTCTAAGTTTGGACCGTTTCTCGATTTGTTTGTGTGATCCTTGCGCAGGGGTCATAGTAATCTTCTGTGTATCGTTCCCTTTTTGATGGATGTCCAGAAGGACTATACTCTATAATGATTGATGGCCCTGTGGTGCTACTATTCGCATAGTCAGTTTACAATTGGGGGTCGCGTGATTCTGATTCTTTTTTTTCTTTTTGGTTTTAATTTGGACCATTTTTCAATTTATGTGAGTCATGCTTTTGCAGGGCCAGTGCTCATCTTATCTATATCGGCTCAATGTGAACGGATGTTCCAAAAGAAATGAAGCTGCAATTCTAATGTTTCTTTGTTCAGTCTTTTAGATTTCATTGATATTGTCAGGAGGGAGTGCTTTACAAGAGATATATTCCAGATGGTTCTGTTTCTTTTTTATGCTAAAAATCTATGAGCAATTGTTTCGATATAGAATGTGCGGTGTAGCTGACCCTTGCGTCCCATGCAACAGGTAATAGAGCCACTGGAATCGGAAGGGAAGTGGGGAACCGCATCACTGCAGGAGAACGGAGCTCCCTCTGCAGCAGGAACGCCCGGTGGTAATTCGGCTGCAAGCCAAGGCGCTGACCAGACGACAAGATGATTGTGCAAGTGGAGAATGCGTTCCAGGCAGTTGTCTATACGTCTTTGTTGTCTTTGAATTCCTACTATTTCCAGACCATGCCACCCCTGGCCACAACCCAGTTAGCTCTTTCGCCCTGTTTACCTTGCCCTTGCCCTCCCCTAACCCCCCCCCCCCCCCCCCCCCCCCCCCCCCCCCCTTCTCCCCCAAATCCCGACCAAATCTCTTTCCCGCTCATGCTCATTCCTCTCGTCTGCTTCCCTGAAGAAGTATGGGGATCCTTATTTAGCTTGTGACAATCATTTTCCTGCAGTAATATGGTTGTTCAAGTTTCGAGGCAGCCGGGTCACTAGGCGTGGGGGCGTGCTCAAGCTTAGGGGCAGTCGATAGACTTCACTGTGTAATGTCTATTGAGGCCCAAGACCAGGTGTGGTCGGTGCATGTACCTATTTGTTCCCTTGCAAGAAGTAGCGGTGGTCTCTTGCCTTCTTGGGACGAGAGAGGAGGAGCATCTAGCAAGCCACGGGCTTGCTGCAGATGTGTGAGTGGGAAGACGAGAAATCTGGGCTCCTGTGAGACGAGCAGTCTGCATTTATTTTGAGAGGTACAGGGGCTCTTCATGGAGGATAGAACGGGGGATGTAAGGACTGAAGGGGGTTTGTGTAGAATTATGTAGACTCCTTTCAAGCATAGGTGTGTTTGCTGAGTGATGGAGGAACAGAGGATTGTCACCGAGTATGGGAGGATATGGCAATTGTCGAGCATTCTTTTCGGCAATGTTTTCAGACGGTCCACATGAGAGAGGACCATTTCAAGGTGGGCTTTGCTGAAAGAGATGGATTGCAAAGCGGCTCTGGAAGTGACGGATGCAAACTCGGCATTGATTGATGATCTTGTTTTTGTACAAAGATGTCAGTTTTGGAACTTTCCATAGTGTAAGGCAGCCATTTTAGGATGTGCTCTTATTAGCAGCTTCTCTGTTCATTCACATTTTGTGCGCTCGATTGCATCTCTTGAGATGTGTTCTGGCCATGCCAATATGCATGCACGAGAGAAGGTAAGAGGCTGAAGGGGCGGGTCGCGGGAAGGACCGATGGAGGGGGAGGAGCGGGGACGTGGGACGGAAGGAGAAACGGGAAGATGGGCAGACAGACTGCAGAGGTTAGGGAGTGCGATGGGGATGGCCTAGCCAAGGAAGGTAAGCGGGTGTTTGGGATGCAGCAGCGATGCAGGTCACCCATAGAAGGGTGAGGACCCCAGTTCTAGTTCCATGTTTTACGACGTGACGAGTTTTCAAAATGAAGGGACCTAAGGCTGCTAAGCACTCTGCTGCAGGGGACAGATGAAACATTCAACTTGTGAGTTTTAATCTGGCAGGCCCGTGGGGCTAAGGTATTGACGGCAGATGTGGAGGGGGGGTCGTAGGGGCGCAGGACAATGGGGATATCAAAGCGCACGTATTTGGTGAAGGGGGCAGGCCACACAGACCATCATGTACGGATGCTGATGGGATTGCTAGGGGTTTTGCGGGTGAGTGGCGGAGTTCCCCTTTATACCAGCATATGATCCGATCTGTTTCCAAATCGGTAAACCTGGCATGGTAGGCATTTTGCACTATACCCAGGAAACTGATATTTGGACGCTGATGTTTGGACAAAGGTGTCAGTGTGTCACTGCAGCGGGAACTGACATGCTTGTAGGCAGAGAGTGCGCTCTGGACTGGAAAGCCTGGATGTCCGTTGTAGGTTGAGGAAGTGGAGTGGTCATCAAATGCTTATCGTTGTAAATGCGAGGTTTTCAGGTTTGTGATGTGGAGTACAGGTGGTGAGGGCCTTGGTCGGGGTCGGTGTATTAGCGCACCCATTCAATTTGTCTCATCCGCGCCGTCGTGGAGGCTGTGGAAGTGGAGTTGGGGATGGGGGGTGGGTGTGTCGACTGGCCCATTTCGCTGAAGGCTTGTTATTTGTGCCTTAGATTAGATTCTTTCCTGATATGTCCATCTGGTAGCAGTGACGTTGTCCTCTTTTGCATGGCTTCAAATGAGGAGAGAGAATGGAAAAGCTTGTTTTCCTTCCTTGTGAGGAGGCGATGCTAGTCTCTCCTTCCCGCTTATGCTGATCAGAAATAGTCTGAGTCATTGTCAAGCAAAAGGCAATATTAAAGGATTTATAGACAACCCCTCCCCCTTCTCTTCCTTCCAGAACCAACCACCCCCCGCACTGGCCCCTGATGGCCCTCCTTCAGGGTTCAGGCGTGGCCAGCTCCTCCTCCTGCTCCTCCCTAGCGAGGTGTGTCATTACTGACAGCAGCCCAATTTGACATCGCAGAGCAAAATTCGAATCCATTGCAACTCTCAACTTTGCATCGGACCTTGGTTTTGCTGGATTCCGGGTGGTTTTAGGACTAGTGGTTTCCTTTTTGAAATTCAGTCCCTCTCTGTGGGGTTGTGCTCCTGTATTTGGATGGGCCTCTCTTTGTGGCACTGTACGAATAGATTTTGTGTAAATGAAGGTGGTGTTATGCAACAGGTCTCCTTCCTATTCATGGTTTCTTTTCTGGAAAGTGTGCTTTTCGGGGTTGAGGAATTTCTCATGCGAAGGATCGAACGTGTGCTGCGCATGGGGGCCAGTGTGTGATGTGGACCAATGGCAAAATGAATGAATGAGCGTGTTAACGTGAATGCGACGCCGGTCATGTTCGTCTTATGTTAATGCAGTAGAAATAGCAGCTCTCAGTAGGTGCTCAAGATTTCTCTAGTGGCAAATGCACTGGCTTGGTTGTGGCGCGCCTCAAAAGTCAGGGAAAAGCGGCGCGCAGACCAACCGTGGTGTACCTTGTATGCAGTTTTTGTCGTGAGTTCATTTGTATGGAGTGCAATGCAGGGTTGAGGGGGTGTGTAAACAGCAAGAAGAGTGCACGTAGGTGCCATAAAGCAGCCAGAGAATCATTGCCACTGCTGGGCCAAGTACTGGTGGTTTAAGAACCTCAATGGTGGTCTTAACAGCCCTTGCCCTCCGCTTTAAGAAGACCAACAGATGATGACGACCCATTTTTTGCACAGTCATGTCTTTCGAAGTTCATGGGAAGGCCTAATTGTGACGACGAACACACAATACGCGGGACAACACCAAATATGTCTACGCCATGCGATTTTTGATTAGCGACTGCAACTAAGAGAGAGAATTGGATGCCGTGCTTCCACAGTACAAACCTAAACTGTTCCCCTTCGGTCTGTCGGTCTGTGTAAGTGTGGCCAATTACCGTGGGCAACGGCAGCTCCTCAACTCAAAATCTCCTACGACGCAAACACTGACTGGCCTCTTGTGCTACTGTAGAGTAGTCTGCTCAAGCGGTGAGTGTTGAGAACCCTGTGAATTTCCGTCTTTCCTCTGTTCTATCGTTCGTGCCTCCGCTTCCTTCTTCTACTCATCCCTCCCCGGCTCCTTCCTGCAGAAGCCCATATCCCTTTACCCTTTTCCTTACTCCATGCTCTTTTGGGCTGCTAGAAGCTGAAGATCTCAAGAAAAGTGGAACATGAGCAAATGCATACGAATGAGCATCGTTACATGAATAGACAAAGTAGAAGCTGAAGATCTGAAGAAAAGTGGAACAGTAGTATACTTCCCCCTTTACGCTCTCTCCGTTCATAATGTACAAGTGGGTCGTAGGTGGGCCGCTAGCGTTTTGACCACAATGATTGTGGACAGCCTTGTACGAGAGGCGCTGTAAAATCTTGCTAAAAAGGGAGCTGCAATACCAAATAAATGGGTAGCCGGAAGAAGGCCAAAGTAAAGAAAGTCAAGAAAGGGGTATAACGGATCTATTCTGCTCCATTGTTGATTGCTATCGAGGTAAAACTGTTTCGTTGTTGGAATGACTCGTTGCATGCGTGGTTTGTAGTCTGCAATAGAGAGGTAGAGCTGCATGGATATTGGATCTACTGATCTCAGTGGAACAGAGGCTGTGGTGGTGAAAATCTACGCCACACGTCAAAGTGGGAGGATTTGAGCCCTCGGCAGTGCTGGAAAAGGCCTTGCCCACCCTAAGTGAAGGTGGGGTAATATGTGCCAAGGCCAGGGTACAGGCCAGTGTGATCACGCTAAAGGGCATGCGTGGTTCGTAGTCTGCAATAGAGGTAGAGCGGCATGGATATTGGATCTACTCATCTCGGTGGAACAGGGGAGTGCCCAGCAGCTGTCTACCATCACAATTATATGTATCAGACAACAAGCAGCCACAATGTTCAGGGACGCTGGACCCGCTTTCCAGCAGGTGTTGCTCCCCACCAATAGATGGAGCCCGCCCGGGACTGCTAGAGGTGTCTGCTCTTACCAGCACCCCTAGCACCCACTCGGGCGATCCTTCGAAAAAAAAAAAAAGAAAAAAGGAACAGGGGCCGTGGTGGTGAAAATCTACGCCACACGTCAAATTGTGAGGATTTGAGCCCTCGGCAGTGCTGGAAAAGGTCTTGCCCACCCTAAGTGAAGGTGGGGTAATCTGTGCCAAGGCCTGGGTACAGGCCCGTGTGATCACGCTGAAGGGCTGTCGGAATCTATATGGGGGCCTGAATCTGCGCAGTGGCCCTTCCAGGGCTCACCCCACATCTTGGCTGAGGCCCTGTACGCACTTGTGCCCGCCCTAAGTGAAGGTGGGCCAGAATATTTACGAGAGGCCTATGTTTGTCAATTCTGCATGTCAGGTGTCAGACAGTTGCAGCGCACCAGTTGGTTACCGAGTAACGTGAGCCTTTTCTTGGCTCATTCCGGCAGCAGCAGCTCGAGAGGCACAGTTGAGCCCAGGGGGCGTGAGCCAAAAGAGGCCAACACGTCACAGAACAGCCACGGGCCAATGAGAATGCAGCATCTTCATCACACACTGGCCAGCAGCCAATGAGATCGCGGCGGACAATTGTAGCCTCGTGGGCTACCTCGGCGTGCCCAACTGTAAATGGGCCCAGACCCTGAACAGCAACTGGGGCCCTGGGAACAGACACTGAGGCCCGACTGGAAGCTACTGGAAACTCGTCCAGCCAGGCCCTGATCTGGACAAAGCAGAGCTCACTTTCGATAAAGGGAAGTGAGCACGGCAGCCAGAGGGGATTCTGGCTGTGCGCTTGCTGGCGGCAGCACTGCTGGTTTGAGCACTGGAGGCCGCTGGTAGGCCACGGACAGGAAGAGGCGCACGAGGGTGCATTGTGGTGTTGGGCGCTGCCTTTGCAGCGGGTGAGCAGCCATAGCTGGCCTTGCTGAGCTGAGTATGGTGATAGTGGTCCTTGGGTGTCGGGGATGCACACTCGAGGGGTGATGTGAAAGGAGAGAGGACGTACCTGGTGTATGTTCGCGGTCTGCATTGGTGATGACGTCACGTACATTTGTCTTCGACTTGGACTTGATCCATTTGCATGAACGCAGATAGACATAGATAGGCTGAGTAGTGTAGGCTGGGCGCTGGGTGCCAGACGGTAGGAGCGACATTGGATACTTGTGTTGGTGAGACCAAGAGCATCGACATTGACATATGAGTTCATTGTATTGCTCTTATTTGGATGGTACCTTCGTCCATTGTGCTCTTTGCTTGGTACACGACTATCTGGGCTACTTCATGATTTTTCAATCTGGACATCTGTCTATCGCTCTCGCTCATATTCCTTGCAAAAGTAATCAAAGCGAAGAAAGGACGGTACAAGGGAGAGCCAATATAACAGTTCTTACGAGTTGGCAAACGTCCGATGACATGACAAGACAAATACACACACACAATAACACATGCAGAAGTTAGGAAGGCGTGGAAAGGACGGTATGTGCGCATATGGGATCTCTTTAGTTCAGTGTACAAGGCAGCTTTTCAGGTTGCCTCAGCAGCTGGCAGCACATCTCAAGCAGCTACAACAGCCAGTAATCACTAGTACAGGTCGATAAGACATCACATAGCCAGGCAGTCTGCTGGAAAAGCTGGTACGCATGCAAGTGATCACAGCAATAGTCCTACATACAGTGGTGCATTGTAGTATGTGGTCAGCACCCTTCAAGGACGTGCACTTTTTCATCAACGCTGGGGTTATCGGCGCAGTGACGCCTTGGCTGGTTGTTACTTCCCAACCAAAGTCCTTTCCCACATATTGCCCGCAGGCTCCTCACTGTGGGGCCTTCAGAGGCCCAAAACAGAATACGGGCTACCGATGAAATTTATCAAGGACGCTTTACCCCCACAAGTCGCCCATGTTGACTGCCGCATATTGGTTTTTCAAGCTGGGAAAGGTATAGGTGGTCTGAAGCATACTTTATATCGTCCCGGCTACAATTCGCAGCGAAGGCGTTCGAAGCCGTTGTCAACCACCCTCCGGGTGCCTACCATCCTCTCCCGACCCCAATGGACGTCCCAATGGATGGCCCCCCCTCAACCATCTCCTCGGGCCTCCCCCTCGGACCGTTGTCAGGCGGCCACAAGTAGTGCGCCGCCTGAAAACGGCAGTTTAGGGGTTTAGGCTCAGGGTTAAGTCCGCGTTTTGACAGTGCTTTGGGATGACCGGGCTGCAGGAATTATGAGTACTCAGGGTACCCCTGATTCTGGGCGCACTGGATTTTAAGAGTGACCCCCAAAGACAGCAAGATGGATGGGTGCACTGAGCACAACTAGAGACCGTCATTTCCGGTCGCTCAGAGGACTGGGACCGTTTTGGCCTGCCGCGGAGAGGGATCGCGGAAACAGACCTCGCCGCAGCGCCTTAACGGCATACAACCGGGGCCGAAACGAGGCCTCGGATTTTTGTCTTTTTAAACATCATAATTAAAAATAAAAGAAAAAGATCAAGGCCAGAAGAGGAGCGGAGAAAAACGCAATATTCTTGATTTTCTTCATTTTTCACTACATTTAATCTTAGGGGAAATTCCCTTGTTATTTTATGTTTTCGACAATGAAATTAAAAACATAAAAARAATATTAAAAATGGTAAAAGGGAAATAAAACGAAATAAATTGGTTATTTATAGAAATTTTCTTGGAATTTAATTTTGGCAAACTTACGATTAATTTATTATTTCCGACGATAGAATTAAGAAAAGGAAAGAATGATGAAAAGTGATGGAAAAGACGAGAACACATGATTATCRGAACGGWAGACTAATTTCGCCTTTATCAGCCGCCACTACCTCTGAACCCAGATTGAACGTTTCTCCCGGATTCTGATAATTCTCACTGCCGCCGATGGTCAGGATTCCCTRGGTCGCTTTCCTTGGGTTGGCGGAGGGGCTACGTCCTACGGTGTCTGGTGTGACTCAGGCGCGGTATGGTCCCGGTGGTAGTTGTTTCAATACGGTGACTTATTTTTCAGGACCAGGACTACTACGACGGTTTTCCCAGGTTTAGAACCTTGGCGGCAGTTTATTTTCAGGATTCGGTGATGGTACCCTGGTTTGGCGTCGGTATGGTGCAAGCCACTGTATTATTTTTCAGGTTCGGTGATGGTATGGATTCCCTGGTTCGGGAGCGGTATGGTGCACGCCACTGTATTATTTTTCAGGTTCGGTG